GGTTCCAATCTATTTCATCTCCTCTATTTCACCTACGGACAAAAGGAGAGTCATGGGTGTTACCTGTGAGTTGTGCACTGTGTTCCCTTTGGGGCCAGTGCCTTTCCCTTCCCTTTCCAGCTCAAAGGCTCTTACAGGTGATGCCTTCCTAAGCTCCCGGGCAAGGATGCTCCTCTCCCTGGGTCTACGCAACATGGATCACTCTGCCCTGGGGGGATGTTTGCTTCTCTGTCACTCCTTTTCCTATGAGCCACAATTTAACTTTGCTTTGTTTGGTCTTGCTAAGTAGTTCAGGCTGACCTTGGACTCTTGGTGATCCTCTTGCCCCTAGCGCTGGGATCGTAGGTGTGCACTGCCACACCTGGTGATCGGCTCCAACTTTAAAAGGAGAAGGGCCTTTTATGAAAAAGTTAATGCTACATGAAGTATGAAGTAAGTCAGATAATAGGAACAACGAGAGACAGGGGCAAAAAAAGCTATTGTAGCCTGTTTCTGCTGTCAGTTTCTAGTTTTATTCCAATGTGGCATGAGAGCTCATTTTGCAGGATTTCCATGTCTTTGGCTACGTCAGGTTTTTATGGTTACTATCAGCATGGTCTATCTTGAATAAAAAGATAAATAAATTCCTAAATCAGGAAGGTCTATGAAGAAAGAGACTAGCCCAGTGATTGCCTAGGTTGAGCGGGGAGGGACTGGGAGATGAGAGCTAGTGGATAGTGTTTGGCTTTGGGATAATAAAACTGATCTAAATATGACTGTAGTCATAGTGGCACAATTCTGTCAATTGGCTAAAATCTACTGAATCATACACTTTAAATTTGTAAGTTGCATTGTATACAAACTTTTGTTCAATAAAGCTGTTACTAAAAAAATGAGGACCCCCCCCATCTTGATCTTCATTACATTCTTTTTTTTTTAAGCTTTAATTGAGTTTATTGGTACATTTTAGGGATACAGTACAGTTACATTCATTGTTGGAATTACATTCTTTTTTTCACTCTTCTCTTGTAGATAATGAAATAACCAGACCATTGTTGGGGGCCAAAGAGCATTTTATTCAACATATACACTCTTTCCTGTACTGTCCTGTCCTTTAGCATCTTACATGGGGGCCAGGAGGAAGCAGGTCCTAATTGCTGATTGGAATGTTACATTCTTCGCCTTCTCCTTGGAAGGACTTGTTTTCTTTTCACATGAAATCTGGAGCAGTGGGTTATTTTAGGCTCACCTCCTCTTCAGGTAAATTTAAGAGGTTTCCAGCATGTCCACACATTTTTCATATGGACAAGTGTAAGAGTAGGAAGACCATAGTTTACTTAGAAATAAGGATATAAGGGCAGAAAGCTATCAAGTTTGCATGCAGATTATCAGCATTCCCCTCCCCACCTCAGCCAACTCAGTATTGGGGATTGAAACCCAAGGCCTTGAAACTGAGCTACATCTCCAGCCTTTTTAAATTTTTTGTTTTGAGATAGGGACTCCTAAATCACTAAATTGTCCACGATTGGCTTAAACTTGTAATCCTCCTGCCTCAGCCTCCCAGAGTGCTGAATTACAGGTGTGGGGGACTCTCTCTCTGTCTCTTTCCTCCCTCCCTCTCTCCCTCCCTCTCTAGACAGGTTGTAGCTATGTATTCCAGGCTGGTCTGGAACTCACGGCTATCCTCCTACCTCAGCCTCCCTAGCTCAAGTGCTGGGATTACAGGCATGTGTCACCATGCCTGGGTATTTCTCTATTTATATGTAAGCATTCATTCAATACAAAGCAGGCATTTTGTTAGGCAAAATCTTTCCATACCCTCATCCTGAAGGACCTGTAATAGAAAGGAGATGGCTGGTGCTCACCTCTTAGAACTGGTCCATTCCCATGCAGGAAGAGGCAGATGCCACCTTTCTAACCTTTATTCAGGGCACAAAGTGTAGGATATCTGTTTTAAGATAATCACTGAGATGGCAAAAGTTTCTATTTAATATATTTGGGGGTCTTGCTGGGGTGAGGAGTGGGTAGGATATGCCAAAAGTTCAGTGTCCTTTATTCTAAATTTTTTTTTTTTTTTTTTTTTTGGTACCAGGGATCGAACTTGGGTTCTTGTGCTTGCAAGGCAGGTCATGGAACTGCTGAGCTAAATCCCTGGACCCTCAGTGTCCTTCATTCTAAAGGTGTTTTCTGTTTAATACACTAGAGAAGGAAGGATTTAGGTCAATGTTTTACAAGCCCCTATATTTGTTTGTGTGTAAAATTTGACCCACCCAAGCAAGTTAGAGATGGCACAGAACACCAAATAGTCAAGGGTCCCAAAGACTTCCTGGATATATTTCCCAACTGGCCTGGAACTAGGTAGGGGAAAGCAAGCAGGGAGTTGTTTGGGTATAAAATGCAATGGGTGCCAATGAACCCAGTAACAGAAATAATATTTAGTGTAGTATTTAACTTTTTAAAATGTTGATATCCTGTCATCATAAAGGTTTACATTTTTTATTTCTAAAACATTGCATTAAAAGCTTCATTTTGATCAATGAATTCAAAGTTTGCATGTTTGTGCAGTACCTCACTCATTGCATTTTAGTACTGCCCCTCTTTCCCAAATGCATTTTCAGACATTCAAGCCCTATGAGTCATTAGCTTCCACTACCTATCCTGGGAAGGGGAAAAAATGTTTAATTAGAATTGAATTATGGTACCACCATACTCTGGAGGCTGAGGCAGTAGTATCCCGGGGAGTTTGAGGCCAACAAGGTCAACCTGAACTACATTGTGAAGCCTTTGCACATGTTCTCTCTCTCTCTCTCTCTTTCTCTCTCTCTCTCACACACACACACACACACACACTCACACACACACACATGCACACGGGGGAAAAAAAGAATTGAATTGTGGAGCTGAGAAGCAAGGGAGAAAAATTCCAGTTATCAAAGAAATCCACGTTAAACAGCAGTGAGATATCCCTGCTTGTGCTCAGTAAACTGATTATTTTAAAGTATCACACCTCCAGTTGGTGGGAGTGGCCATGGAAGGCATACTTTTAAAGACTTTTTACATGTGAAAGATCACAGCTGTCCCCAGGACTACAGTCTGCACCATCTTTACCCAGCTGCCCAAAGTACTGGGCCGGCTCCAAGAAATGCATTAGTTGTAAGCCCCAGGAGAACGACCGAAGGCAGCAACTTCTCCAAGCTCCTCTGGGGCTGGAGGATTTGCCTCAATGGCCTTGGGACTCTTCCGATTATTTTGGGCACCCGTGTGCTGCACCTGATGACCAGTTGTTCCACGGGACTGTCTCCTTCCTCGCCTTTAAACCTTTTAAAGCCAGAGGCAAGGATAATCTTCTAAATTTTGGTCTATACTATTCAAACCCGTCAGATAAAACCACTTAGTTTACCGCGATCCTCACAAACTCGCCGACCTGACTTGGTGCCGGATCGAAAGTGGCGGTTTTCTCTTGCCACAGCCCAGCCCCGGCTCCGGGTCGCCCCTTCCTCACGCGATCCCCGCCCTCCGCGGTTACCCGTCCCCGGCGTGGGGCTGCCCGTCGCCCCGCCCCCTT